GTAAGAGTTGTGTTAACAGAATTCTTTTTAAATCTGTTTTTTTTTCATTATGAACAGGTCAAACCCGATAATTTTATGGTTCTTCATTGGTAAATATAGATATGTTTATTTATTTATTCATTCATTTTTGTTTTTACATATAAATGAATGATTCATATAATATTCTAGTCCAACAACATTTTCAACTAAAAAAGAAAGTTATGGACAAATACCATCATTAATGTTAATTGATTTTAATCGTTCAATTGATTTAAAATTATTTGATAATGGTACAGCATTTGTAACGTGTGTACCAAAAAAAGAATTAGCTTGTGTTGAAATGTTAAATAATCGTCCATGGATTTTTCAAGTAATTAATATTTTTCTATATATATATATATATATTCGATTAATATTTGTTTTGATTTTTAGCATGATTTATTTGGTATGGTTTATTCAATTCATGTTCTTGTTTTTCTTAGTTATATGACTGTATGTGAAGATGAACAAAAACAAGATGGTACAATGACAACAAAAGCAAAATTTTCAAAACGTATACATGATATATGGAAAGAATTTTTTTATGAATTTCTTAATATACCTGATTGTCAACATTTACCAGATTTAAATGTATGGGCTGATCGATTAGAATTATTATTATTTGAAGAAGCTAAACGTCTTAAATTAAAAGATACTGATTATACAAATATGTTTCGAATAAAACTTGATACACATCTTAATCAATTTCAACCGACACCACCGGCACCAACAAATTGAATGATATATTCTTTAGATTTGTACAAATATATGAATGTAGACTATAATATTTTTCTTCTTATATATACGAATAAAATATAAATAATTAGATTTGTATACGATGAACGAAACAATGTTTTTTTTTGTTTAATTGAACTTTGAAGCAAAATTTCTATATCTATTTTGAATTTGAATATTGAGAGAAGGTGTGAGTTAAGTAAATATGGTCTCATTTGATGCCAAGCGACTATCAGTAGTGCAAACAAATTTACAACATGAGATATCAGATAAAACGATCTTTTTAATAGTATTTTGTGTATATTAGTTGAGTTTGAAACAAGTATTGATATTATTAAAGTATTAGGCAATACTTCACATTGAATTCAATCAAACCACAGTTATAATTTTTCCTTTTTTTAACAATACAAATTTTATTTTATTTTCATGAATTCATTTAAACAAAATTTATTGAATAGAAAACAGTTAAAAAAAAACTTGCTCTTTGATGAAATATAATTTCTGAGCTTATAATATTTCTTTTGTAATATTTAAAGCTTGAAAAAAAAACTACTAATCAAACGAGATTTTCTTTTGACAATATTCTATCAATCGTTGGAACAAAACAATAAATTAAAAAAAAAAACATGAAAAGAATTCTCGAACAAAATCATTTTCTTGAACTTTTCGATCTTGTGTAAAAGTTCAATAAATCGATAACGGAAACAGTATGATAACTTAAGATGGTCAGGTCATATATCTAGACGTTCACAGATCAAGTACACATATACATAAATCATTGATAGTTATTGCTAGTTTGCTGAGATTATTAAAATATTCTTACACTAATGGGATGATGTATTTTTTTTTTCATAAAGCCATGAATCATACTAATTCAATTCTTTCATCACTGAAATTAGTTTTAATTATGATCAATTATATGCCATAGATAATACGTTTCAATAACTTCGACAATATGTATAAACTATTGATAAATTTTTATTGCATAAACCGAAACAGAGTACAATCTAATAGAAGAGTATAGAACAGCAATTAGCACAAAATTAACATAATCATATGAAAATGAAAGAAAGCTTTGGAAAAAAAATCAAAATGTTTTGCATAGTGAATACATTACTAACTCTATAGCTACAATAAATTTAAATTCAAGAGTAACTTTTAGATAGACTCTTTGATTTGCTTTCGGATGAGAATAGATCCTTTCCAACATAGAATTCATATTTAATCAATTCATTATTGTTTCTAGTTTCACTAGAATGTTTTCAGAATTAAAATATTTTTATTTACTAAGTTTTCTCTAGCTATGTTTGTTGTAAAATAAAAAAAGTAAGTTCTTTTTAGCCCAGTCGATAGTATTTGATCTAGATAGAAGCTCTTGTAATCGATAGACTAAATTTAGAATAGTAAATCACAAAATGCGATATAGCTAAAAAGAATATATGCTATATACGATGGTTTGTTTCCAGCTGACGTTTTCTCTCATAAGTTTAGTTTTACATAAAAAAAAAAACCATATCATAAAAATTAACATGGGTAGAAGCTGTATTTTACTCTTCGTAGGGTTCATATTACAAATTAATCATTGTCATCAACAGTCTATCAACAAATTTCCACCAATGAATTTATATATTGGTACTGATGGTGATGGCTTTGGTGCAGGTTCATTACCATTAGGTGTACAAAGTCCATATGGTGCTCTTCGTTTAGGTGCTGATACTAGTAATACTTTAGATATTCCAATTGTATTCGATCATCTAGGTGGTTATCATTATTCTGATACACATATAAATCTTTTTTCACATACACATATGTTTGGAGCTGGTGTACAAGATTATGGTGAAGTTGGTATAATACCTGTTCAAATAGATAATAATAAACATTTACAAGAGATGATTTCAAAACGAAATGGTTATCGTAGTGAATTTCGACATGAACATGAAGTTGTTGAACCAGGTTATTATCAAGTTTATCTTGATACACATAAAATAAATGTTGAATTAACAGCTACAGAACAAGTTGGTATACATCGTTATTCATATGATAAAATAAAAAATAAACATCATGTTATACTTATTGATAGTAGTTATACATTACAAACAGGTGTATGTAATCGAAGTCATATTAAAATTGATTCAATAAATCATGAAATAACAGGATTGGTTTTTTTCAAAGGATCACTTTCAGGACGTTTTGGTGGTGTAACAACTTATTTTGTTATTTCATTAAATAATTGGTCTAAATTTGGTGTATGGAATAATGGACAAATAATTGAAGGACAAAATGAAACTGATGGATGTTCATCAGGTGCTTATATTATTTTATCTGATGAACAAGTACAATTAACAATGTATGTTGGAATTAGTTTTGTTTCAATTGAACAAGCACGTACTAATTTACATGTACAAACAAATATGTTTCAATCATTTGATACTATTCGAACAATTGTACAACAAAAATGGCTTGATGAAATAGGAAGATTTGAAGTATGAATTTTCTTAAATTTTTTTTTTAAAGTTTAAATATCCTTTTTTTTTTAAATTTTTATATTTAGGTTAGTGCTGAATGGGATCGTGAAGCTGAAATTAAATTTAATACAGCTTTAGTTCATTCATTATCAAGTCCAACACAATGGGATGAATCAAATGGTGTTTATCTTGGATTTGATGGTCAAATTCATATTAAACCTGACTATATGCAACATGTTTATACTGATTTATCTATATGGGATATATTTCGTACACAAATACCATTTATTATTTTTCATGATTCACAGAGAGCAAATGATATAATACATTCAATAATGATTAATGTTGAGCAAGGTGGTGATTTACCAAAATGGCCTCTTGCTAATGGTTATACAGGTTGTATGATAGGTTCACATGCTGATATACTTATCAGTGATTTAATTATGAAAAAAGAACATGATAATTATTTAAATTTAACACAAGTTACTCAAGCTTTAAGAAAAGTTGCTAATCAAAATCAAGTACATGATGGTCGATTTGATCCATCAACATATATAAAATATGAATATGTTCCTTCTGATATGGATCAACATTCAGCACCATTGACATTAAGCTATGCATATGATGACTGGGCTATTGGAAATGTTATGAATGCAGCTGGTTTGACTGATGAAGCTAAAGAATATTATAAACGAGCAACATGGTTTGAACATGTTTTTGATAATAAAACAAAATTTTTTTGTCCAAAAACTAAATCAGGCGAATTTGATTGTCCACCGAATGGAATCGAATTTCTTAATCCATTTGATAATCGATATGTAGAAGGTGATGCTTGGCATTATAGGTTTTTTGTACCACATAATACTTCACGTTTAATTGAATTATTCGGTAGTCAAAATAATTTTATTGAAGAATTAAATACATTTTTTCAACTTGGACAACTATGGACGACAACATTATTACCAAATCCATATTATTGGCCAGGCAATGAACATAATCTATTTTCAGTCTGGCAATTTAACTATGCTAATCGTTCCGATCTTACACAAAAATATGCACGATGGTTATTAAATCATGCCTACACAATAAAACCTGATGGATTACCAGGCAATGATGATTATGGAACAATGTCTGCTTGGTATATATTTACTAGTATGGGTTTTTATCCACTTTCTGGTTCATCAACATATTTAATTGGTAGTCCAGCATTTGATCGGATAAAAATTTCTCGAAATAAAAACAAATGCATTTTATTAATAAATATTCATAATAATTCTCCAAAAAATATTTATGTTCAACGTGTATTATTGAATGGTAAAATTTTATCAACATTTCCATTTATTGATCATATAAATGACTTGAAGTGTTCGAATAATAATCAATCAAATATTCAATTAGATTTTTTTATGTCATCAACTCCTATATTGTCATATGACAAATAAATTAAGAAAAAAAAAAAGAAAAAGAAAGAACCTCTAACCTGTCGTCAAATAAGGTTTGACTTCAAAGAATTAATACCGACGTTTTGTCTCGAGTGATTCAAGATAATTGATGTGGTAATACAATGGAAGAAGAAATTTTTTTGTGTTAACAGAAAAGTCAGCAGCTGGTAGAATATATGTATCGATCTGAGCAATATATTTAGTCGACGATAAATATCACTTTCTCTTGAGACAATAAGAGAAAGAGAGAAGAAGAAAAGAGAATATACAGTTTGTTATTCTCAATCATTTGATCATAGAAAGAAACACGAAAAACAAAGGAAAGAAAAAAAAAAACTCAATGTTTTATTCTTTATTTCTTATTTGTTTATTAATCAATATTGATTATACACAAAATACTCAATGTTCATTTTTAAATAGTAAATTAAATAAATTTGGAATTCATATAAACATATATGAAAAAGATTTTATTGGTTTAACATTATGTCAAAATTTAATAAATAATTATTGTTGTCCACAAATTTATGAAGATAAAATACAGAATGCAACAATAATTGAACTTTATCAATTATTTGATTTCTATTCAATTAATTTATATGAATTATTAAAACAAATAACTTTTCAATTAAATGGTTAGTAGAAGAACAAAAAGAAAAAAAAAAGAATTTTAAAGTTTGTAATTATTATTTTTCTATATGTAGAAACAATTATAAAATTAATTGAATCATCACGAAATGAAACACATTCTATTTTTAAATATAATTATAAAACTATTTATAATTATTATCGTTCATCAATTGATTTATTTTTTAATAAATTATTACTTATATCATATAAAAATTATCAATATGATATTAAAAATAATATTGAAGAATTACTTCGTAATATTCTTCGTATAACAATAATGTTAAATAATTATAATCATAATAATAATAATAATAATAAAAATAAACCGATTTTATCATCATATTTATTGTGCCTATGGAGAAATCATCCATTTGGTAATCGACAATATTTAATTGTTAATCAATTAGAAATGAATTTAGGAAAATTATTTCATTTAAATGAATTATTTAAATTAAGTAATGAACTTATTCAAGTTATGCCAACGGTAATTTTGAAAATATTTTTCATAGATTAATTTTCGTTTCAATGAAATTTTGAATACTGATGATTTGTCGGTCGAAAAAACAACACATATTCAACTGATTTGTATAGTGTTGAAATATGATTTAGAAGAGTGTTACTCTCTTATCAACATAGTGATAGATGCATCCATCAAATTTAATGAATGGAATGGTATACTTGAATATGAGCAGAACAAAAAAAGTATATCATTTATTAAATTGTAAATTTATACCGATCATTATCATTTTTGAATTCTTAAATTGAAGAAAATTTTTTCTTTTATTCATAATAGAGTATTTCATGAGAATAGCAACTTTTATTATGAGTTCTTTCTTTTTCTAAATAAGAATCTATCGTTCTAATGTATACAGAAAAAAAATTCAAAATCAAACATCATTTATCATAGTTTAAACATGATATTTTTTGTTGATAAAAAAATTCTGTACAAATTTGAGTCTCTTTTCGATAAAAAAAAGAACTAGGACAACGTTTGTCAATCAAAATTTTATACCTTCTTTGTATTTTTGTTTTTTTTTTCTTCATGAACCTTTAATTTTCACACTATACAATTATACATACAGATGTACATGATAAAGGTGAAAAGTTGTAGATTGACACAAGTCATTATCGATCGATTGACTTCAAAATAAATACATATACGAACTAATAATCAATGTTCGACCTATTGGTTTATTCAAATAGATAAAATTCAATCAAGCAGAAAAGATAATCGTTAACTGCAATTTACTTGACATTATCAATAATTTATGAAAGAGTACCAAAGAAATTATATTGACATGCAATAAAGTTAGAATTTGTCTTTTTTATATTCGATGTCAAACTTTTGTGTTGTTTGCTTTTTTTTGTTTTATTTTAAATCAAAGATAGATAAGAGTACTAATTATATTCTAGAGTGTTACGACAGATAATCATTGTATTGATTCATATATGCAATTGTCATATTGTAACTTATGTTCTGGACGAAAAGAATTACCTTGTTTATCAAACTGTATAAATATTATTGAAAGTTGTCTCATAAATATCTCTTTAATTAATGATGTATGGATAAATTTTATTGGTAATATATACAAATAAAACCTACGTATAATTATTCTTATATCATCTATTTATTTATTTATTTATATAGATTCTATTGAAAATAATGCATATTTTAATGGAATTGAAAAGGCTTTATCATCTATTGGTAAATCTATCTCCGATGCTCTTATGACCCTTTTTAATTCTGATGGAGTACAAAACAAGGATGTATGTATCATTATATTGAAATAGTATGTATATTTTTGATGATTTTTTTGTTTTTGACTAAAGATCATTGACCAATGCGGATACATACATATACGAAAAGAAATATTTGATAATGATCAAATATTTCATAAGGAATATAGTAATTCATTATCTATACTTGATCAACAACTTAGATATATGAGACAATCATTACAAATCTATAGATCATTTTGGTTAATATTACCAGAACAAATATGTAAATCTAATGGACATTCTATTTCAACTCAGAAAACATGTTGGACAGGAACTTCAATTTCTCTTGATGACAAGTAGAAAAGAATTCTGTTTTTTTTTTTTAAATTTCAAAAGACTTTTCATGAATTGTTTTAGACAATCGATACGAACTACTTATGATAAACCATTAAGTTTACGTTTACAAAGAATATTAAAAGAAATGAAAGAGAAATCACAAATGATTAGCAATATACAACGCATAACAACAGGTTTGTATTGAAATTATAATATGAGCAGCATCATTTGTTAGCAATATAACTTCGTAAAATTGAAGCACGTGTATCTCTGGACAAATAATTTTCCTAGATCTAATTTTTGTAAGTTACATGTATAATATATCCCTAGCCAACAGTCTTTTCCCTCCATCATTGTTCTCATATGGTACCTTTTTGGTTTTTATTTCGAGACTTAAAAGGATCTCTAGACATCCGATTTTTACGACAAAGCTTTTTGGAGTTCGATCTTGCTGAAAATTTTGCGATAAATATAGTTCATATCGTTTAGTGTATTCTGTAGCTTTCGAGTTTTCTCTTCATAACGTTAGAAAAATATTTGTTAAGTACTTTTTAATTAATCATCAATCGAGTCAATATTTTTATATATATCTATGCTACAATAACTTATTCGAAAAAAATTATTCTTATAAAAAATCAAAGTTAAACGAAAGGTGGTTATGTCCTGTTTTTACTTGAAATAGTCCATATAGACTAAATCTAATTTCTTTTATAAGACAAAAAAAGAAGAAGAAGGTGTATTCTATTTTAATTGACGTCTTAATAATAAGACTTTCAATCTAGGAATAAATATCTCAACAACAACAGCTAGAAATTCTTTATTAATCGATGGATTAAAATTAAATTTAACTGATGATTTTGATGATTATCCAGATGATAATGAATTTGATTATGCTGATTATGCATATGAAGATTCAATCGATGAATTATCTTCATCAATACAAACAACAAGTTCAACAACTTTACAATCATCAAGTATTTCTGTTTATGATGATCTATTTATTGATGATATAAATACTGTTTCATATTATGATTATGGTGAACAAGATGCATATAGTGATGATGAAATAGATGAAACATATACACAAAAATTATCTTCGAGTTCTACAGTATCAACAATAACAACTATAGTTAAAATTCCATCATATCATCAACGACAACCTGTTATTTGGAATATTAATATTGATGATGATTTTCATAAAAAATCACAACAACAATATAACAGTAGTTTTTCTCATAATTATTCACTTCTTTTATTATTATCATTATTAATATTTATTCTCAAATAGTTTTTCAATCTGTTATTTGTTTGTTTTGAATGCTTATTTTCGTATACTTAAATAAAAAAAATCTATCATCTTATCTCATTTTATTAAAACAACTTAGTCCGTGAAAAAAGATTGTTAACAAAACAAGTCTAGACAATTCTGATTTCGACATATTAAAAAAATTATTTCTTCCATATTTGTTTATATAAAAAAAAATTTTGATCAGTCTTTGCGATGATTGAATAATATTTTGTCATTAACCACAGAGAAAAAAAGGTGAGTTGACTTTTGTGTTCATTTGAATGCATCATAAAAGTTCTTGGATTTTTTAAATATAAACTGTTAAATAAGACTGATGCAGAGTTCTGTTGGTTGAGAATTGCAATTGAATGATTTCAAACTAATTTGATCACTTACAATTATCCTTAATAGCTATTGTTATATGTAATAAGCCATGCATAAGTCTTTAAAGCAGTATCGAAACTTGATGTGAATAATCGAATATGGGATTGATCTGAACTTCTTTGTTTGAAAGAGTAAAGTTTGAAGAGTGAAATTTGTCACCATTCGATCCTGCGTATTTTCCAACAAAATAAATGATTTTTCTAGATAGAATACATCGATCTAGATGTACAAAATTCATGAAGTTTGTAGAAAAGTACTCAAAGTCATATCGTAACAGTTTTAGCAATTCGACTAGAGAACTAAGGAATTATTAGTAGGTTTCTAAGTGAGAGGACAAAAGTTTCCAGATAATGAGGTGTGAAGCCGATAGAACTCAATCAGTTCTATTTCAAAACATATCATTCATCAAGTTGGAAAATGTTCAGGGACAAATAGCGCTTAGTTCTAGGGTAATTGATTGCATTTTTTTCATGTTTTTGAATAATAAGTAGCCTTTTATCTATATTAAAATGTTTGGTTTGGAGAAATGACACCTGATATGGTCACAGCATATCGAATTCTACTTGGACACGAATTTAACTGGTTAGGAAAATGATTATAAGCCAATTCATCGGTGAAACACTCGAATCCTGACCTTAGATATCCTATGTCGAGAAAATGTTTATTATCAATTTATTGTAGTTCAAAAAGACGGAAAGAGATCGTTGCGTTATTGATTGATCAAACTGGTCAGTAAATAATATCAATATTGATATCAAATCAACAAATAGAACACAGTGACAACATAAAAAAAAGAAAGATGAAGATGAGAAGAACAACTTCTTTGTTCAAACTATTGTTAACATATGTGATTTTGTTTCTTAGCACCTTCGATTGACTAAAATACACGTGGGAGATAAGAAAGTGTTTTGAAGATGTATAACACAAACTGACGTTTAATACTGCAGTACAACTGGAAACAATGACATCGCGGTAAGCATTGTCTATAATTAAAATTTTTCAGCTTGCTTTTTGCTGTTCTTATTATTATCTGTTTCTGATACGCTAGATTATGTGCAAGAATGATTGATTAAATTTGTAAAATTCTCGTAAGCTTTTATTTTCTTTCGTAGTGTTCTATCTTTGTTTTTCTTACGTATGAAATGAGGAGTTTTGTTGATGTATATATTCAAAAAAATAAAACTTTTCATTAGATGAGAAATGTTCAAAGATGTGGGGATATGGATATGACTTGGGTGTTTATGAGAACAAGACATCTATTCTACTTCCAGCTGGCACTACTAATCAACAACATTTCTGTTTGTTTTTCTTTTTTTTTTCTTTATCAAACATTAAAAATTTTTTTCTGTTTCTTTTTGTTGTTTGTTTCAATAACATTATGTTACCGTGGCTATTGTATATAGCTTCTATCCAATATCAGGCTAGTTCACTCGAGTAAAATAACACCGAGATTAGAATTTACAATGAACAGGTTGCATGAGGCGAAGTTAATAAATAGATTTTTTTTTCCGTCAGTCTTTCGCTGATTTCAAGATTTAAGAATTCAAATAAATAATTAGTATGAGATCTGATTTTGAGGAAAAATTAAATATAAGTGATCATGATAACTCATTTCTGTATGTTACATATAGTTTTTTCATGATACAAGTGGATGAAATTATTCTTTAAGTTTAAAAGAATATTTAGATGTCAATGATATAGAAGATAAATCATCTGATGAGACTCTTAAGCAAGGCCAAAACGACAAGAGAACAAATCTTATCCTTCATACATTAAGCCTCAAGAGGACACAAAAGCAAAAAGAGTCATCTATCTTTCTTTGAATATATCAAGGTTGATACATTTCATTATTATTGAATTCACTGAAGAAACTAAACGACATAAAGATGCATATTTCACATCATCATGAACATATACATCTAAACAAACAATGATATTGATCAATGAACTATATTTTTTTGTTTTTGTTGTCTGACCAGATCCAACTCAGTGTAAATTATTTCTATGGTGGCTCTATAAAATATCAAAATAGATTGTCCAAAAGATAAAGATGATAGGACACTACTCAGGTTGAAGCAATTAATGATATAAAATCTGTTAACTATTTTTATATAAATGACATGGTGATAGTTGGTCATTAGTATTCTACTCATACGTATGTTTTTAGAAATGTAGGAGACGCAAACGATAGATGTTAATATAATCGAGACAATAGAAGTTATGTATTTACTTACACCCAATGTAGATATCAATCAAATATCGATTGTACCAATAGTCTTACAGAATACATCAACATGGCATGCCAGGAAAAATGATTTCCAAATATTCATCAGCGATTGTCCATGTTGCATTGCTTTTCAACAAATAATGGTCAACTAGGTTATAATTATTCATTATTGTCAGATATATCACGTCTTTCAACAAAAATTGTAGAAGATAAGAAAGTATTATTTAATATTTGACTCATTTTGAAGACTATAACTTATCAATTGACTCAAAAAGAACTAGCGCGTCAACACTCTACCACTTTTTAGCCAGTATTCAATATTATAAATTAAAGTTCGACTATGCCATGATTTTTACCTGAGAAATACCTCATGTTCTTTGGTGATTTAATTGAAGATTTAAGAGTTGATATGATTACGTACATAGAATGAAGATCTCTTTTTATTTGCAAGAACCAGAAGCTCGTTATGAATTAGTTGCTTGTGATATTTGTAGATTGTGCATCTTCAATATGATATAATATATCGATTAAACATATGGATTATTGAATTTAGTCAAGCTCACATCCTGAAAACAAATAGATTTATTAATAAACCTTAAAAATTGCGAATTTAGATTTCGTACATTGAAAATTGTTTGGAACTTTTCGTGCAAAACCTTTTTTTGATTCAGGCATATTTTACTGGTTGAGTATTTTTCATACTAAAAAATTCCCAAGTTCAAAGAAATACAAAGAATTTCGAACGTTTCATAAGGTGTGAGTGTGAGTGTTGTTTTAGATCTCCGTTTAACTCACACCCACGTTCATACCCATTCCATTTAAAAAGTTTACATTTATAACGCTATGGTTTAATACTCATGTTTATCTATGGGTATGAACGACAAATATGCTAGCTATTAAATTTTATCCTACATTATCGATTCTCAATAGTAATAAGACATGAACATTCTGTAACATGAAATTAAACTTATGAATGATTTTTTTTCTTCTTTAAGAGAAGCATTAGGTGTAGGTATGCGTGTCAATGTACAGGAACTAAGATTCACACTCATAACCACAGCCACACCCTATATATTTACTTGATGAATGAAAACATTTTGTATTGAATAAATAACAAAAAATACTCTTAACAAAATAAAATATCTAATGATATGAAAATCGAACGTGAAAACATTTAAAAAACTGTATTAAATATGAAAAAGTAAGTAAATTATTAATGCAAATAATAAAGTTCTTATATTAATCTTGAATTAAAAGTCATTCGTGTTTGATATGTAAGTTACAGTATTTTAATAATAATTCAGTCCTTTTATTGTTTCAATTCTCATCAATCAGTTGAATTGCTCGGTATTTAGCCACACAGTACCGTGTTACGTTCTCAAAGATCTCGGGAATGTATTTGGAGATAGAATCATTATTCTTATAAGTTCAGGAAAACTATTTGTATCATAGTTTTTAATAGTTATATTTTATTCAAAATAGTTATGCTTATACTGAAATATTCTTTTAAAAATTAGGTTAGTAGAGAACAGTACAAAGGTTCGTATTATGGAGAAAAGATTAACTGCCACCTCCACCTCAACCACCACAACCACCTCCACCACAACCACCTCCACCACAACCACCTCCACCACAACCACCTCCACCACAACCACCTCCTCCACCTCCACCACAACCACCTCCTCCACCTCCACCACCTCCACCACAACCACCTCCTCCACCTCCACCACACCCACCTCCGTCACCTCCACCACAGCCACCTCCTCCACCTCCTCCACCTCCACCACAGCCACCTCCTCCACCTCCACCACAGCCACCTCCTCCACCTCCACCACAGCCACCTCCTCCACCTCCTCCACCTCCACCACAGCCACCTCCTCCACCTCCTCCACAGCCACCTCCTCCACCTCCACCACAGCTGCCTCCTCCACCTCCACCACAGGCGCTTCCTCCACCATGATGATGTGAGTGATGACCACCTGGCATGTCTCCGCCTCCATCAGCCCCCCAGTTTACTCCACCACCACATGCGGAGGCTCCACCGTGATGATGAGCACCTGAAAAGTGTCCGCTTCCAATAGTACCTCCCCAAACATTGCCGCCATAGTTGCCAACGTATGGAGCGAAAGGTATTGGTTGTGCATAGCCATAACCATAAGGTTGTCCGTAGCCGTAATGAAACGGTGATGGTTGTGGTGGTCGATAGCGATGGCGATGACGATGTCGCCGTTTATGGTGCTGATGATGAAAACGATTGTGCCAAAACGGCATCATTTTCGTCTGTGTTTTCGATTAAGAATGAAAGTAATGCGCTTTATTTATTTGTTATCTTGGCGTATAGTCAACGTGAAGGCAATGATATGCGTATGGTTACACTTCAGTAATCAAAGAAAAACGAACAAAAAATTACGTTTATTCGCACACACTCTTTAGTCTAAAATGCATAATTGAAGCAGAGAAAAAGAAAAAAAATGATGGGAGTAAATCTATGTCATGCGCTTCATGATACTTCCTTAAGAACTAAAATTACTCATGATGACGAATTTTCTATAAAAATATACTTTGAAAATATTTTCAACGCACTTATACTTCTGCTTTTTTTATTCTATACTCGTCTTACATATAATGTTCTATGATAATGAATAAAAATCGCTTTTACACGCATAGTAACACACATGGTATCCAGAACGATAGCATCATGTATCATTAAAACATAAAGAAAATTTTGATACTTAAAAATCTATAATTTCTTCTTCATAGAGTCTCTACAAAATCACTTTATTTAATATAATAAACCATAAATAATATTGAATAGAGTACAAATCTTTAATTATCTATTGGTTCTCCATTTCTAATCTCAAACATTTAAGATTATTTTCTGTTCGTTGTACTTTAGGACCCATTGTTGGTAAAATTTTATAAGTAATATCTAATCGTTTTTGATAATATTCAAGTGCTTCTGAAAATTTTCTTCTTCTTTCATGTACTACAGCCAAATTACTGTACGTTAAAGCAACAGTTGGATGATTTTCATATACTGTATGTAGCCTATCGATATTTAAACATTTATTATAATAATCAAGTGCTGCATCTATCTTGCCAAAGATTTCATGAAAATTAGCATGATGTTCGTATGTTTCACAGGTATCGGCGTGATTGAGTGGTAATATTTTTCTCTGAATCTTTTATGTTTCTTTTAAATTAAACAATGCTGTATCATACATACTCTACTTACAATGTACAGCATCGATGAAACTATGAAATTTATCTTATTCTCTATAATCAACTGAAAAAATTTGATTAAAAATTATCATACTTTGTGATAAACATTCTAATGCTGTTTTAAAATCTTTTTTTAAAAGTAATTGTTTTTGCTTTATTTAATTTGATTTTATCCATCATTTTTTTGAACAATTTAATGCTCGTTGATATTCACCTATTTCAATAAGGCGTTATCCGAGTGATACAACAATTTTTTCTTCAATTTTTTCTTTTATGTATCTGTTTCTTTTGAATGATGATGATGATCATCACTAATTCAAGTAAAGTGAACAATCCAAATATGAAATTCTTCATTGTTTTTCTATTGTATCAATACGAAATAAAGTACCAAGCGTGAATAATACTTCATTTTTATTTTTAAAAAAAATCCGTTGTTGGTTATTTTAGCAGTCAGCTCTGTTTTTTTTACGTGAATCAATAATAATTATATATAGAATATGTTACATATTGGGCATGGGTGCGTTATAGCCAGTCGTACAGAATCTACCCGTGTGCACCAATGGTCGTTGGGAGAAAATTTGAAAATTTAGTAGTTTCGGGAGGATATTTTTGAAAAGTTAGTAGAATCTGAGAAAAGTTATTGGCAAATATTTTTCTTTGAGGGAAAAATGATTCATTTTCCAAACAAATCTCGACTTATTTAAATACTATCGGGGCCAATTGAATTTCTCCCTTTTTTTTTGTTTTTAGTACTATAGTTCTTTTATTTTTTAACCTAATATATATAGACAGAAAGCCCAGAACA